CAAATATCCTTTTTTTTTTTCTTTTTTTTTTTTTGTGATTTCAAGGTACGGGGCTGTAGAAGGGCCCCACACCACCCCCCTCCCGCCCTCATCCCGACCGCACCGCTGCCCCCGCGGGCGTAAACCCCGTGAACGGCCCCCGTGAACGGCCGTTCACGGGATTTAGGCCCGGTGACCGGCCGGTCACGGGTTGGTGACCGGTACCGATCACGTTCACGGGGCAGGCACTGGCTTGCACCGTTCGCTGAGACAGATCAATTCCCTTCCAGGAGATCGATGCTGCCCCCAACCATGGATGGACAAGTGGACATCGACGATATTGTGGATCACAGGGATATGCCTGTTCCGAAGCCGCTGGGTCGAGGAAGACCTCCTAAACCCAAGAGAGAGTACCGCGTCAGATTCAAGCATCATACGGATCCGAAAGAAGATCGATGGTTTACCAGGGAGGAACTGGTGGTGGCAGAATATGAGAGGCTACTAAAAGGGAAGGCACCTGCGAAGTAAGCATCTCGACAGACTTTCGAAGCTAAGGGGGATGGAATGTGAGGATTGAGCCCCCAAGTAGCGGCCTTGCCATGATGTACATGTTCTGGGCTAAGGCCCCAGCAAGCCTCGTGCCCGCCCTAAGTGAAGGCGGGCCAACAAATCAACAAGAGCCCTATGTGGCAACATTTCACGAAGTGGGGTCCATACAGTTGCAGCACGCCAATTGGTTGGAGTGCACCGAGTCTCGGATTTCAGCAAATGCTGAAATCCCAAGGCCTCTGAGTTAGTTAGGCCCTGGGCACTCGAATGTGAGGCCGACAATGCATGCTGGGTATAAAGGCCGAAAATGCCAAAGGGAAATCGGCCCACTATCGGAATCTGGCCGCAGGCCTTGATGAAGGAGGCGCAACTGCATTACCCCAGGGCCCAACTGTATCGGGCTGAGTTCAGCCTCTGGGTCCCGGTCACAGGCTGAAGGGAGGCCGCCCACACGCTGCACTGGCATATAGGCAAGCAGGGCGAGTGGGCAGGGATCTTGGCCATTGCGAGCAAGGCCGGCACGCTGCTGCGTTGCATGCATGCTGCGCTGCGCTAAGGCTGAGGGACGCAGGCTAGCGCTAGGCGGTAGGGCGCTGCCTGCATACAGGGCGCTTCGCGGCCATAGCCGGGATGCAGAGGGCGCAGAGGGGTGAAGGGCGAAGGTGGTTCTTCGGAGGTGAAGGGCGCTGTGTGGGTAACAGGGAAGAGTGTGGGTGAAGAGGACACGTATCTGGTGGAGGTGGAGGTCGACATTGGTGTTGACATCATCACTCGCTGGTAGTCAAGTTGTCTGGTTGCTTTCATAGCTATAGTTGTAGGCTTAGTCTGTAGAGTAGATAGGGCGCCTAGCACCATTCATAAGAGAGAGCTACATTGGGTTATGCTGTTGGTGTTGCCCTGTTGGGCATGGACATTGACTCACGACTCTTCTGTATCATTCTCAATTGGATGGTTACTCGGTTCTATTGTACTATCTGCTTTGGCTTCGACTACTTGGACTTCAGTGTGATTTTGCATTCTGGATTTCTGTGCTTCGTCCATACTCATGTTCCTTGCATAAACAAAAAGAAGGAGAAAAATAAAAAAATGTTGACGTAAACAAAAAAAGGAGGAGAAAAATAAAATTAAAAAAAATGTTGACGTAAACAAAAAAAAGGAAAAAAATTAAAAAATTAAAAAATGTTGACGTAAACAAAAGAAAGGAGGAAAAAATAAAAAATAAAAAAATGTCGACGTGTACTTACACACGGTTGTGTGTAAACGAGCGAGTGAGTACGTCTGTCTCGCTCGACCTTCACATGACAAAATTGGTTTTGGCAGGAACACAGACGCACCGGCTGGATGCAATGGTTGTGTTAAGAAAGGCTGGAGTCCACGGTGACCGGACTCAGAGTCACGCCTGATGAATATGGCTGGAGGGGCATAGTGGAGTCCATCCGAGTCGCGCCTGCTGATTTGCATAGAGGGAGGGAATGTATGGGTAATAGGAGGGAGTAGGGATGTGAGTGATATCGGCGCACCCAATAGTACAAGTAGGATTCGGAGTAGGGAGGGTTGCTTACTACCGATCTCCCAATCCTACGTGGGGAATGAAATTAGATCCATTGCCCACGTCATCCTTTCGATCTGCCCCGACCTCCTCCTTAAAGTTCCCCCAAATACAGGCATAATGACCCTACTCCATTCTATTCGGGGGAAGAAGGTAGTCTCTTTTCTTGCCATCTCTCACTCCTAATAGGTGTTAGGAGCCCGAGTACTACCGTCTTCCCTCGAACACAACGCACCCTTATTTTGGTTATTTATGGCCGGAAAGATAACTTGTATACATTCATTTTTAGGGTGCGTTATGTTCGGGGGAAGACGGTAGTGTCCCCACAGAGTGGATCTCTCTCTCTCTCTCTCTCTCTCTCTCTCTCTCTCTCTCTCTCTCTCTCTCTCTTCTTTTCACACTTTCCTTTCTCACTCTCCGCCCTTCTGTCTTTCTCGTCGTGTGAGTGGGTTCATTTATTTAGTTTTTGAGGCTACAATGGCGCAGTTATGATTTCAAGTTTAAAATGCACTTTAGTCATTCCCCCGGACATAACATGCCCTACGTGACCCTACAGGATTTGTTCAACAATTTCGTGCCTTTTGCTTAGACTGCATATAAAAGTTGAAACCCTTTCTGCACCGTAGTTATGTCTCTTTTTTTTCTTGCCGCTACAAAAGTTTCTTGCGGAAGCTCAACTCAAGTATATATCCAACGGCCTAGCTCAGTTGGTAAGGCACGCAAGTGGCCTTCATGATGTCCTGGGTTCAATTCCCATTGGCGTCATGTACCTTCCTGGGTGAAAGATTACGGGCATCCCTTGGCTATTGTGAGCGACAGAGATACTCGCTTTACAGGTAAACATTGGCAGCAACTAATGCATGTGTATGACTCTAAACTAACAATGTCCTCAGGAAGACATCCTCAAACGAATGGACAGACTGAGCAAATGAACAAAGTACTACAACAAACGTTGCGTATATACATACGTCCCGACCACATTGATTGGGATGAACATCTGTCCAAAGTTGCTAGTGCCTCTAACAACTTTGTACATTTGTGAACATCTAGAACTCCGACAGAGTTGCATTTGGGGTGGCGACTTCAAAGACCCATAGATTGTTTGAATCGCAACTAGATGGAAAGACTTCCACCAGGAACCAGAGAAGTTGTTGTGCAATATCAGAAAGATATAGGCAAGGTTAAAGAAAATATAACTAAAGCAGAACATCAAATGATAGAACAGACAAATAAACATCGAAGGCCCTCTCAATTTGCTGTAGGAGATTCGGTATGGGTAAAGTCAAAGGAATTTATCCCTGCAGAGAATATCTCCCAAAAGTTACTACCAACCTACAGAGGACCTTGGCAGGTATTTGAGGTAATAGGAGTAGTGGACGGGCCATCTTATGTTATAGAAATTCCTCCTCATTT